CAAGGGTAATCGGGTGACTGAATCCTGCCGTACGTGTCACACTCATTTAAGCCTTTTCCACTCCTCACACCATCATAACAGTTTTTGGGAACATGTCTGCACAACCCAGTCAATATTAGTTTTATGATATCTAAGTAGCAAACTAACCTCCAAGCCTGTGACTAGCTATAAACATCAATCTAGGGGGCAAACTTGAAGGAAAACATGCATGAACCACATCTGTATGTAACAGTTTGGTTTTAAATTGGTTTCTTCTAGTTAATGTTGTATCTCTTCTTACATCTCTAGAGCAGGAGCTATGTCTTGTTTCTGAGAATCTTAGCACAGGACACGGAACTTCCATGGGGTCTTTTGCTGCAGCTGTCATACCAGAATTTATCACTGGATGTTTCTATGTCTGCCAGCACACACTGATGAGTGAGCAAAACAGTAGAGCCCAGAATAAGATGTCTCTCCTTTCAGAGAGACAAAAGAGGGCTGCAGTTCTGAGCAGCAGGCTTTTTCACCAGACACTCCTTGGAGCTTTACTGGCTCTAGTACATGAACATCTCCCACTTTCCTTACTTTTTAAGTGAGTAGATTGGCTGCCATTCACAGAGACCAATTATCATTTCAAGAGCAACTTCTTGGTACCTGAACTGTTTACATGGAAAAAAGATTAAAGCCAAAATCCAGCTACCATTATAATTTCAAAACCTAGCAGGATTCTAGACATGTGTTTTACTTGCTTATTACTGCTATAATAAAAAAATACGGGGTATTCAACCAGAACATCCATGTTTTATTTTCACATGGATTCATTCTATAATCAACAGGTTTTAAGAAAACATCAAATGTCTCAAAATATATTGCATTGCTTTTACAACCCCAGCTCTTTTCTTTCAAGAAATACTATCAGTCCACACAAATGCCAAGGTTTCAATTATGAATTTCTGCGATACTGATCTTTTAATATGATACTCAGTAGTGTATATTAATTTCCAAATGGAATTCTTATGCAGAAGACTATACCTCGGTATCATAGAGATATTAAGTGATATTTACCTGTGAACCATTCACGTGTAAAAGATCTATCATTTTGAACGTAACTGTACAAGCAGTTAAAGCATCTGTTGAGAACATACCTTGTGTAAAAGCTGTAAATTCAGACCTTAATCCATTGCCATGTCCTACACAGCACTGCTGAGCTTTTTACAAACAGAACAGATAGACCACCTGACTGAACTGGAGAATAATCGATGGTATCCTGGGCTGCATCAAGAGAAGCATGTCCAGCAGGTTGAGGGAGGTGATTCTGCCCCTCTACTCTGCTCTTGTAAGGTCCCACCTGGAGTGCTGTGTCCAGTTCTGGAGCCCCCAACACAAGAAAGACATCGACCAGTTAGAACAAGTCCAGAGGAGGCCACGAGGATGATCCGAGGGCTGGAGCACCTCTCCTATGAGGACAGGCTGAAAGAGTTGGGGCTGTTCAGCCTGGAAAAGAGAAGGCTCCAGGGAGATCTTATAGCGGCCTTCCAGTACCTGAAGGGGCTACAAGAAAGCTGGGGAGGGACTTTTCATAAGGGCAATTAATGACAAAACAAGGGGAAATGGGTTTAAGCTGAAAGAGGGCAGGTTTAGATTAGATATTGGGAAGAAGTTCTTCACTGTGAGGGTGGTCAGACACTGGAACAGGTTGCCCAGAGAAGTTGTGGATGCCCCCTCCCTGGAAGTGTTCAAGGCCAGGTTGGATGAGGCTTTGAGCAACGTGATCTAGTGGAAGGTGTCCCTGCTGCTGGCAGGGGGGGTGGAACTGGATGAGCTTTAAGGTCCCTTCCAATCCAAACCATTCTATGATTCTATGAAATTAATATACCTGTGATAAGTACACTGGTTGATATGCCCTTTAAAACAGGTACAAGTTGCTTTAAAAAGAGAGTAGTGTGCTCAGGTCAACTTCATTTTCCCCCCCCACCACCACTGACTAAGTTTTAAAGGTCCTGCCAAAACACTTGAGTATTCATTTTTTAATCATCATGAAGAAAGAAGCTATAATTTTCTGGTAACTAGGTAGTTACAACCATTACATCCAAGGATTCAGTACCCACTGGAAACTTTATTTTTACAATTCACTGGTATAGATACTTACTGTATAAAAGGTAAAAAAATAACCTTACAAGTAAAAATAAAGTCTACATCTGAAATTACAATTTTACCAGCATGCATGGAAAATAATTATTTATAAATCACCGTGTCCACAAACTTTGCAGTTTTGATTACTATCAATCTCATTAAACAGGCAGGCAAATACCTACTAAGTGAATTGGCCTGAAGTCACGGTGAGTCAGTGGCTAAAATGAGAACAGAGTCCTGCTCTCCTGCCTTCCCCTTCCCCTCCCTGTGTCCTAATCACTCATGCAGCATGAATTCAGACTCCACACCACAGATCTTCCCTGGGTATAAGCTATCGTGACTGACAGAAGCTGAAGAGTGTGGCACAGGCAGAGATCCATCCCCACAGGTGGGTAACTAGTTTATGAAGTGCTGTCATTTTGGTACAGCAACATTCACACCACCAAGCAGGACGTTACGTACCCCATGTAACCAGCCGTCCAGGAAGCTCATGGAGAGTGTTACTCTCTGATCCTGTCTCACAGAAGCCATAGTCAGGAACACGACCACCCTCGTTCTTTCCTGTGGACTATCAACTGTGGCTGAACCCACCGAATTAATCCCGTGAGTCGGTCCCCTCTCCTCTGACAGCAGAGTAGATCATTACACTTAGAATCAGTTCAGACTCATTGTTTCTATAATTTCCATGAGTCTTGTATCAGAACTACACCACTATTTGAAAAGGTGTACTGATAATGAATAACTGGCAGAGATTATCCTTTTAGCTCAAACACTACAATGTTGCATTTTAAGCAATTATCAATTTTTTTTTTTTCTTACTCTACCACTAAATGTTCTACAGACAACAGTTTAGTTACAGCTGTGTTACTATCATACGGCTCTTAACAATTCACATTTATAACACAGGGATTTATTTGTAATAAACAGAAAATTTCTGAATATTTTGTAAATTAAAATGTTGGGTTACAGGAACAACCTACCTTTAGTAATTCTATGCACATCTCTCAGTTCAATTAAATCACATTGCAGGCAAAACATTGCAAGTGTGCAATTCTGTCAGTGACTTCTGCAACAGATTTATTCTGAAATAAACAAAGCTATCACTATTTGAAAAATCAATCTCCGTGGAAATCTACAGAGAAAAAAACCTAACAGCTAATTTTCAGAAGTGAGGGAAAATTAAAACTGGTAAAATTATTTGTCTACCTTCATTCTTAAGGGAGACATTTTGTCAGCTTCCAAGAACATGTTCCTGTTTCACTGGCTGAATGAAGCAAGCAGTGCAGACTTAAGTGGACAAAGAACCTCATGTTGTGACTTTTAATGTTTTGCTACAGATGCAGCGTAGCAAAGTAGGTCTAGAAACACAGCAATGCCACGTAGAAAGAAAAAATAAAATGCCAAGCTTCAGTGTCTCTTCAGGACTGTGTTCATGTTCCTATGTGTAGATTCAATTTTTAGATAAAATAAGTCAATAAACTTATCTGCAGTGAAACCCATTACGACTGTGTGTATTACTGCCTCCTAAATGTGATCTGCAGATTGTGATCTGTCAGATATCAATGATGATAAACAGCTGCATAAAACCCTCTAATGTATAAACATAAGCAACCAAGGAAAGAACAAAATGGAGAAAAATTAAAACAAACATTCAAAGGTAAGCTTAATTTTTATTTGGCAGTAAATAAAAATCACTGTGGCAATATTCTACAAGATGATCACTGGAGTGTAATTTTTTGTTAGGTGGCCATTGGATTACAAGGAAAATTTAAAAATATTAGTGTGTGCTTTTAATATACAGACCATCCAGAGCCATGACTTTTTTACCATTTTTGTCTGCATTGCAGGCAAGGCTGCACAGTTATAGCATTGTATCAGAGAAGTCCCTGTGACATTGTACATTGATTTGGAAATGAGATTTCAAGTATAAGGATCCATTTGCAGAGATGTAACTGCAAGTTTGGGCTCACTGCAGCATCTGTTTGTTCCTTTCTGCAGTATAAACCATGATATCATCTTAAATTAGTACATCAGAAGTTCATATGACAAGCAGAACGTCACCTTAACTAAAAAGTGAAAACATTTTGCAAATTTGCAACAATTAAACTGTATTTTTCTTTCCCTTTTTCTGTTTCTCTAAGGTGCTTTTTAAACGAGTTAAATTTCTGGCAAATGATCAGTATACTGGATCTGAGAAATATTTTCTTTGCATATAAAAAAGCTACCAATTTTCCCTTCTGCAACACTGCAGACACAACATGAAATCTGACTGATAGTCATATTTCATGTTGTTATAAAGACTTTGGTATACTTCATTCCAGCCAATAAGTAACATATTAGAACGTAAACAATATGGGAGAAGTAATGAGGATTTTGAAGTCAGTATTTTATTTTGGCACACTTTCTAAGTATTAAATAAGCTTACCATCTTTCTGTGCTACAACTTCATGTTTAAAGATCAAATGATATTTTTGGAAAGCAGTTATGTTCCAGCTTTGATTAGTGTAGCAAATGCTAGTATATATTTTAAAAACGCTTTGTATCACATATTTGAAAGTATATTAAAATAATTTTTGAAATGCAAATTTTCAGTACTCCTTGAGGTAAATAGACAAAAAGATGCACCAAATATGACTGAGGGGCATTCTGGGCTAAGGAACAATCCTGAATTCCCTATTCAGGCAAACAGATAAACCACACCAGGAATTCTGCCAGAAAAATGTATTCATAAAACAATTGTCACCTTTCAGATTCCCTTCAAATCAATGCTCTCGTATCTGGGGTAAAAAGGCAACTGTGAATGAAAAAGTAGGCAGAAGAACCCTAGCTGTCCGTAACTTACAGTCCTTACTAACCTCTCCCATCCTTTATGAGTTCCACATCTTTCTCCAGTCTAATGCCTTTTCACAGACAAACATAACAACTGAACAACAATCATGTAGGTCCACAAGTTATATATATGATTACAGTATAGTGATATCCAAATTTCAGTAAAGTCAGCATAATTTACAGTCAAACTATGCAGGAAGTGGAGAGGAAACCAATTCCCCAATCTATAATACAAAACAGTTTGCTGAAAATGTGAAGAAATCTTCTCCTGGGAGAAAAATCAGCAAAGTAGAAAAAATAAAAATGCACCTTCCTTGAATTTTATTTTGACTCAGGCTCTTCATCCACGAATTCAACTAACGGAGCGTGTCTATTGGCCTGGGCACCTTCTTGGAAATTAACCTTTTTTATCACTCCTGCCTTTGGAGCCCTTATGGTATGCTGCACAGAAACAGATCAATAGTGAATCAGCAGAGTACTTTTCTTTTTCCCTCTCCTCTCTGTCTCCAGCAAGTGCCAATATTACTCTCTTGGTGCAATTAGAACAGAAAACACTTAATTGCTTCCTCTGGCACACATATATTTATTTTAAACCTTCTTTTAAAACGTTATCCTAGTTTTATTTTCTCATCAATATTTATTTTGACAAGTATACTGGGGACACAAATGCCATATAATGTTATATTTTGAAGTATGAACAGCTGAATGTTATTTTATTTCACTAATACTTTTTGTTATTATAATAAATACCAGGTAGAAATAGCACGGTTTTATTCCAAAATGTTAATCACATAGCAGAGTTGTTCCCTGAAGAGGAATCTGCAGATTTACTAAACATATTTTTGTTTGCTGGCCAGGAGGAATCGAATCTTTATTGAACAGATATTTGGCAAAATCTAGATTAAATACAAGTATAGCTACTAGTGACAGTAAAGGAAGAGCATGTTTACATACCAATCCCCAAACTGGTCTACTTGTTATTATATCAGGTTAGTTTTCCATTGAAGTTTTGTTTCTTGGTAATTTTCTACATATAGTTAGTCTAATATCAAAACATTTAATATCAGATATTGAATCCTCACATCTAAGCAAGGATTCATTTAAATAATAATTTGCTTTTTAAATTTTACATTTTCTATTTCAATAGCACTGGGGGGGGAAGAACTGATAATATCAATCAGGTGTCAGCTGGAAAGGCACAAGCATTTAGCACTCAACTGCAAATAATCTGGGGTGTAATTTTTTTTTTTTTAGTGCACAGATGTATTTAATGTCATTTTAGTGTAATTCATAAAAGGGCATGAAAAGGGAAAGGCAAATTTTCTTAACAACGTTAATTCTGCTACCACAAACTGGTTTAAAATAAACTAATAGCCAAACCAAACCAGTTCAGGCTTCAAAAACTATAGTTCAAGCAATCTGAGCCATGGTCCAGCAACGTGACAAGATAAAACGGTCAAAATACTAGTCCACTGAATGCCACATTTAAAATTACAAAGAATCTTTAGTATATTCTTGATAAAACTTTATGTAAATAATAATAAAAATATTATAAACAAAAAAAACATCCTAGGCATATTTTTAAAGTCACCGATAGCTAAATTTCTGCATGAAGTAACTGCAGACATTACATATGCTTACACCCCAGAGAGTCAGCAAGAGAGATCCCAACTGTTTTCTGCTAGAAAAATGAAAGAATTACTGGCTTCTTGGGAACCAAAGTTGGATTAACAAAGCTAACCAAATGAATGTTAAAACATCTGCAGAATATCATGGATTATATAATCATAATTTGTTAATAAAATAACAGCAAATATAATCCTCTAAAATCTAGTCAGACACACTTGTTCTACTGCATATACAGTGGTACTGACATCTGTAAGCTATAATCTGCACCATACTTCAATCATGCAACCAAAAATGATTAAATTTTTATTTTCTCAGTAATTAAAACCTTTTATATGTCACTCACCTCCATTTTCATAGCTATCATAACCATCAGAGGGTCTCCAATCTGAACCTTATCCCCTGCTTTAACAAACACCTACAATTCAAGAGAAAATTGGTAAAAAATCATCCATGTCTACCATTAAAAATTATCAGCAGGATCTTGGCTAGCACAATCCACTGAGTGTTCATGGTTTTGCAAAAACAGCTTCATAATATCTTTATTATTGTTGAATTGGGTATCTGAGTTCTCTAGATAATACTCAAGGGGAGTCAGAGGCTCTAGAAAGACATTCAGTAACAGCTAACAGGATGACCAGGAAGCTATTTATTTATAAAAAAGAAACACTAGAAGACACAATGTATATTCTACCCTTTCTGTGCTTAAAAGCTTCTATTTTGAGAGAAGATGTTCAGAACCTCTTCCTGAAGCCAATCACTGCAGTTGTTTTTAAAACAAAATCCAGAAAGAAGACTGCAAGAGCCACCTAGTTTTCCTACAGTAACTCTGTTTTAGTGTTTGCTCAGTATGTGAGAGATCCACATTCAACGTACGCCACCCCGTGCAAGGGTTCATGCCTTTTCATTGCTATGAAAATCCTTCAACTACTAAACTCTTGTGGAAATCTCTTTTCTTTTGAAACTTTTCTGCTGTACAGAAAAAACACTTGGTAAGCTAAAGACAAAGAAACAAAAACAGAAACAGAAGCAGTGAAACACACAGCTTAAAAAATAAGCCACTTCTGAATATTTCTTTTTTTGCATCTAACATCTCATTCTTTTGGTTAGATGAAATGGATCAAACAGCCTGTAACACTTCAGAGAACTTTGACTTGGTAAGTAATTAAGATTAAGAAAAAAAATTTTAAGCAGTAGGATTAGTTAAATATTCAGATCTCTAGAAAAAGACAACTAGAAGCCTGAAAAATTATTGGGTGTCTGTTAAAAAGCCAGAGTCAACGGGACTTTTTCTAATTGGGAGAAGCCACACAGCACTGACATTCTGGCCCTGATTCTATCCTGCCAGTAAAGAAGCAAGCACCATTTCTGGAAGAGTGAACTTGGATATATATTGGAGAATTAATTTCCTACCCATATTACAATAATTACCTTTTCAACTGTGCCTGTCATGGGTGCTATAGCACCACTCTGCATTCCCGCTGAGCTCACTGCAGATAAGTACTTGGGTACAGGAAGGCCAATCTGAGCACTACCTTCCTACAGAAATAAAATCAACGACCTGTGAGTCAACAACATAAAATAATACCACCAGGACACATGCTGACACACAGGGAAAGAACAGATCCAGCTTTAGGCAACTCAGTCAACCGTCTAGGGTGCCAGACTACTGGGGCCAGGGCAGCAAAGAGACTGGTCAAAGTCCTTAAAAGCCACACCTGCTGCTATTAAGGATGAGCAAGGAACTACTCCCATGGAAAAGGGGCTCCCCATGGACCTCTGTACCAAACCCACACCTTCCCTATTCACACAGCAACAAACAGCACAGAAGGTTTTAGAAAATGAGTAAAAGCTGTTTGCACAAGGGGCAGGCAGGTTGCTGCAACAAGACAGACATTGGCATCTTCATTGCCAAGCACTGTCACTATGACTGTTTCTCGATTCACAATGAAATGGATTCAGTGCCAAGTTTTCATGAAAAATTCTCACTGTTGTTCAAAATCCCCCAGTTCCTCTCAGACTTGCTACCCAAAGACTCGTTCTCCCCCGTATCATACCCTCACTCTAAAACTCATGTGATTTCTGCTGGATCCCCCACCTCAGACTCCACTCTGATAACATAGACTTCTTTCTTATCACTTAACCTTAAAAATGAAACACACTGAAATTGAAATATCAGTTACACTTTCAAATAATCGTCAGTTTGAAGTAATTGCTACTGTTCTATGACAAACCTGGACACCTAACCATTTTAATATTTTGTGTTCCCCCCTCCCAAAACCATCATTTGCAACTCTTGACTCATCTAATTGTATTTTATCTTTCTAAAATAATTTATTTTCTCACTCACTGACCATAAGCAACTAACTTCTAATTATAGCTATAAATCCAACAAGTATCAAAACATTATGGGCCAATATGTAAGAACTTGAAATTAAGATTCTTTCACATTCTCTTGCAATTTATATCGTTCATCTGCATGGATAAAACTCTGAAATTTTATACTTGTGATGATAAAGAAAGGAACTTTACCGGAAAGAAGAGATAAATGGTGTTGTCCAAAGTGACCAATTTGGACTTACACACTGTTCCATTTACTGAAGACCTCAAGTAAACTGAATCACCTTCATTGAAGAGCTCTCCAGAAACCAGGAACGTTTTATCTTGAATCTGAAAGTTAAATGCTTTTATAAAAACAAAGCCTAACCTTTCATAAACAATAAACCAAAAGTTAGTATTTGTAGTGAGCAGTAGTTATGAGTGTATACTCATAACCTGTGATTCTTCATAGATAATTCTGGAATTTCAAAAACTATTTTTAGATCCTGTGTATCCTTTATTTTTCAGTTAACAGACTATTCTGTATCCAACACAAGCAGCTTAGAAAATTAGCATACCTACTCTCCCAGGACAATCTTTATCATAAATTATTCAATAGCACTCAGCAAAACACTAAGGTATATTATTTCTCAGGAAAAACAAAACAAAACAAAAAACCCAGAATATTCAGTTTAGTGATGCTACAAGAATCCAATGTTTTTAATTTTTCCTAGCATCTTGACTTTCTTTAAACTGAAAAATCCATACTGTTCAGCTGACATCATAAGATTCCACACTGCTTTCCAAAAAACAGGTAACTTCCTCACTCTTGGAAGTTTGTAATACAAAAATGACAGTATGTTCAGTAAAGCTACAAAGAAGCAGAGGAGAGTTATAAGGGCTTTATAACATTAAGGACAGTTAATGACAAAACTAGGGGAAATGGGTTTAAGCTGAAAGAGGGCAGGTTTAGATTAGATATTAGGAAGAAATTCTTCACTGTGAGGGTGGTCAGACACTGGAACAGGTTGCTCAGAGAAGTTGTGGGTGCCCCATCTCTGGAAGTGTTCAAGGCCAGGCTGGATGAGGCTTTGAGCAATCTGGTCAAGTGGAAGGTGTCCCTGCTGATGGCAGGGGGGTTGGAACTGGATGAGCTTTAAGGTCCCTTCCAACCCAAACCATTCTATGATTCTATGATAACAGAGACAGCGTCAATTAGACACCAAAACTGCAAAAGAAAGACCAAATGGAAAGGTCATTTATTTGTAGGTAACCCTTTCATCTACATCATTGGAAACAGCACCCCTGCAACAACTTCAGAATACAAAGACAATAAGAATATGAACATAAATGCATTAAATTTAACTGATATTTTTAGTTCTAAGTCTAACAACACTAAGCAAAGAATCAGAAACTTGCTGGTCTTTCAGGATGTTATGAATAGAGATAAAATTCAGTCTTCATTTATATAGTTGTATCCTATTTTTTCACTGAATGAAGATGATGTAACATGCATTGAAAGGTTACTGTTGAGCTGATACTGATCCCTGAGAAAAAAAAATTGTTTGCTTGATCAGTATCCTGAGCAGGGGTGCAAATTAGGGAAACACCCTGGGCAGCACTGTGGGTGCTTGCCAGATCCGTGGCCCAGCAACCTGCTCTAGTAGACTGGCCTCAGGACAGGTTTTGTAGCACTGCAGAGGCACTGGCTGCCTGTGATCAGATCCCGATTCTGTTTCTCCCTCCCTTATCTTCAGGTTCTCTCCATCCCTTATCTTCAGGTTCTCTCCATTTCCACCTCAATGTCCATTCTTCTTTCTTCCCTGGGAGTCTACATTCTCCCCAGCTGCACTTCCCATCCCCAAAAGCCTCCACTCTACATTCCTTCCAGCCTCTTTTTATCTTTTGCTGACATATGAGATAAGCCTAAAATATAAAAGCTCTCCTGCATTATGTATGCAATCAATATGCTCAGAATAACCTGGGTATTACTTGAGGGATGTGGGTTGCCTCAATATTCCTATCAGTAGAAATAAGGGTATAAGGGTTTGAGTTACCCAATGTGGTTATACACACGAAAGCATGGTAATTTTCTCACAATTTTTCTAGCATGCTCATCTTTATATGGTCTAAGCAGTTCATAAATACTGACTTAATTCTCGTAAATCCCTTTTTCTGAACATTGGAAACATGAAGCTGGACTACAGAGAGACTGCACTCTTGAGCATGCAACCATTCTGGGTGCCAAATTTGAGAGAAAACCCCATTTGACTCCAGGTGAGCCAAGAAAAATACTCAATACTCAGCAAAACACAACCCCCATAAGCCACACAATAACAGACTATCACACATGCACACACAAAAATATCTGTGTTTAAAGCATCTTAAATTATATTCTGTATGATCTCTATAGCACAGACAGAGAAAGAAGCAAATTTTATGGGGCATCGTTCAATTATTTAACCAGAAAATTTAATACTCTCATCATTTCTCATCTCATTTAGTAATCACTTCAAAATAAAAAAAGCATTATCTTACAGATAATGCTCTAGAAAACTTTTATTTATCCCACAGGAGATCCATCTCATGCACAGAATAAAGCAGGAGTCCTGCAGAAAAAAGGTCTTTTTAAATGCAGATTTAAATCTAATTTCCTATGTTTTAGAAATACACACTTAAGGAAGAGAAAAATAAGAAGTACGATCTTTAAATACTGGAAAAGCAAAGGTTTTTCTTAGCCTTATTTTCAGAAGCATTTTAGTAGCTCTTCCATGTCAATGCAGCATCTAGCAAAGATAATTTCAGGCCAAAATAATAGTCTACAACAACAGCTGCAAGCAAACCAAAAACAGAATCCTGTATCAGTAATTAGCAACCAACTTTAGTAACAGTTAATACCAAGAAATTGATTCTTCTTTTATCTAATGAAATACCTGAAAAAATTGGGACTTGTACCTGCATGTTGTAGGACCCTTCTGGATTGTAACTTACAGCTACGTCCACAACTGTTTAATAAAACAAAATATGTCTATGTAAGCAGATTTCATTATAGGATCTAGAGAATAATTACATATAAACAATATTTAGTCTATCTTTTTTCATAAAAAAGAGACCTACTAAGAAAAGAGTAAGTATTTTCATAAGAGCTTAGTACACATGCAGATTTCATACTGAATTCTAGACAATTTGCTTTTCAAAGACGAATGCCTGAACTTATGCTCTGAAATCTGTATTAAGTTATCTGGACAGAAAACAGATTTTTGATGGGAAAAAAGTGCTGAGCACTTTCACACCAAAGAAGTTAAAAGAGAAGTCAACGGCACTCAGCTCTCCTAAAAATCTCAACCATATTAATTTAAATGCTGAACATTAGTAGTGTCATTTGAACTTGGTTTGTATCTCCTCAAGATCTAAGTGTGAGTTAATCAGGCAATTCCCTGTATTCCCAGCTTAAATTGCATAAAACTCATACTGCTTTGATTTGCTATTTCTTAGCCTGAATTTTCAAGCACCAGTTGAAATAACCTCATTAACTTACTGTTTTCCCCATCCAGCAGAGACAGTTTTCTAGTATAACATATATTTATTCTTCTACCAGTGCTGGATGCAAATGGTGAGAATTTATCTAAAACACAAAATATACAGATATTTTACTTTTCTTCTATTTTGGCAAAACACAACACTTAGAACTTACACCATAAAATCACTGTCCTACTATTACTACTATCCCACATATATTATATTACACATAAAAGACTGGGGAACCACTGTAATAGTGACAATCCCTCACTCAAGCTTCAACACTGAATAAACCAAGGATGTGTAACCTACAGAAAACATGACACTAACAACAGCACTTACTAAGAAGGAGGATATTGACTGTTCTCCATGAACACATCCTTGAACAGGACAAGGAAGCATGGGAATTCAACTGCAACATAGCAGATTCAGATTAATCTTTAGGTGAAGGTTCTAACTGTAAGAGTAGTCAAACATGGCAGCAAATTGCCTGGGAAGATTGAGGGGTTTTCTATTACTTGGTGTTTTTGAGAATGGATCAGATATAGAGCTATCAGATATTGCCTGATTAGTTCATTAGTGTATGGGAATCTTTCCAATACCACTTTCCCATGTTGCCAGGATAGTTAAAGTGGAGGAGAAAAGAAAATGAACAAGGTTTTTGGCAGCATATATTACATTTATAATGACGTTTTTGTTTACAGCAACCACATGCCCCACTGGTATAGCTATTAACAGCATCAGAACTCAAGAATATTCAACTCCTGGAGTCCTGTTCATTCCATTAAACCCTACTGCCTCTCCCAAGAGTCTATTTTATCTCTGAAGACCTTGGGCCAACTGTAGGAATAACAGTGATAGATACTCACTGTTCATGCTTGTAAAGAGCAAAGACTACACAGTGACATTGATTAAGAATCCCAAGGTCTTTCAGATAGAGCCTGTCTGCAGTACTGTGGGAGTAGTCTGTACATCACAGTGGTGATATATTCAGTATCTGTCCCTTAACACAAGTCACAGTCTGCTGTGTGTAAATACGCCAGAACACAGAGCCCTGAGCAGGCACAAAGTAAGGCAAAAAGGGAGCACACAAATTAAATAATTGCACATGAGCTCACAGGACTGTCTCATCCAGTCACAAGTACAATTAAAACAAACAAACCCAACAACCACCAAAAGAAGAATGACCCTTACCATCTGACTGATCTCTAAAAGCATCTGTTAGCATTTTCTCTTTCAGTATGAGTCCTAGAGCTGCCTGACACATAACTTCATGTGGGGTTGCCTTTTTGGTTGGAAATAGTTCATCATGGTGTTGAGGAATGAAATTGGTGTGCACATTTCCAGCCTCAAACTGTGGGTGTCCTGACAAGCTCAGTAAGAAATCAATATTAGTGCTTAATCCTACAATCTGTAAAGAAAAAGCAGCATATTACCGAATTGAAATGAAGTTATGAATGAATATACAGCTTTCTGCTCAACTTATGCATAGATGAATCTTTCTTCAGACAGCACCATCAAAATGGCAAGTTCATCAATAAAAAACCAAGAGTAGCTCTCTGAAAAGTACTCTGTTTTCAAAACACTACCTCTGTCCACTGGGAAGTCAAAGAAAACTTCCCAGCAATAGCAATGGGAAAAAAATCAGGAAAACAACCCTACTGTTTTGTAAAATCATGCTCTGAGCATTTAAAAGAACATTCCTAATATGAAAAGTGCCTGTTATTAAAAATGACTCGTAATAGTTTCAGATATTCTATATTTGATCTTTTAATAGTAACAAATGGGAACAGTGACTTTTGTAAATTTACTAGATACTATCCATTTCCTGTACTGCAAAACACCTAAGCAAACAACATGAAAACAGAAATAATTATCTTAGAGAAACCAGTGAAACTGGTAACTATATTGTACTGTCAAAATTTATTGACAGAAGTACTAAGAAAATTCTGAAAAAGCCCAAGGGAATTCTTTTATCTCTTTCACTTGCAGTAATCTTAATTTTTAGGTAAAACAACAGTGGGACAAACATTTTCAGTACCTCAATCATGTTCATGTTATTGATTTAAAAGTGTAAATTAATTCTGCACAAAGAATATTCAGTCTCACCTCAAGTCAAACCTTCTCAATTCTGCTTTTGAAAATAGATACAATACCTGTAGTTTTTACAGGGAGAAAAGGGACCACTTCTTAGAAAGATCTAACAGCATTAAAAATTCTCCATATTTCTTTGCCACATGTATAGTCTAAAAATTTAATTGTTTTTATAAATTAGAAATTACAAGCAAACATTGTGTGACACAAATTCCACCTACAAATTCCTTTAAGGTTGAGAAAGCTCACACTACAATGCGTTTGTGGCCTTTCTCTTCTACGAAGTCCCAGCTGCATCATCCAACTGAAGATATTGCAAACATAAGAAAAATCTGTGTGCAAAGCTGGACTTCACACTTCTCTCTACTCACTCCACCAACGAAAACAGTTTGCAAATTAGGAAAAAATACAGTGTGCAAACAAATAATGAATCTGAAATGGTAGTGGCAATGCAGGCTGCCTCTTAGAAACCACTTTTGTTTTACTGTAGTATTTTATCCATATTTTGTTAGCTCAAGATCTGAAATCATACTGGGTTCCTTCTACTTACATTATACTGACGCAAACTGTATCGCAGCTTTCTCAGTGCTGCTTGACGATCCTCAGCCCAAACAACCAGCTTTGCAATCATCGGATCATAATGAACAGAAACCTCATCACCTAAAATATATTAAAAAAAGTAAGTATTTCTGCAATTTGGTAATGCATACTACTGCACACCATATGGCATTAAACTCTGACACACCTGACGGACACATTTCTCTACGTCCTTAAAGAACATTAATCTTTAAGGATGTGACCTGGCATTTCAATTCCAAGGACAACTTCAGACAGACTTTTGTATAGGTAACATTACTCAAATTTAGCTTTCTTTATTACAATCAGAATGCAGGATTGATAAATTGCGATGAGAATATAATCAGCATGATCCTATGGACAAGAATTTGGATAGAAGTAAATAAAATATTTAGTGGTTAACCAAAAGTAAATGGACAATCACAAGCAAGAATAATTCTGTAGAGATTTGTCTTTATAACAACACTCTGTCAGACAAACTTATTTAGGCCAAAGAGGGCAATGCTTACAAAGAAAAGCTTTTGATGTTAAATATTTCTGATTACACCACTGCCTTCAGTTTTACCTTGTCTGACTCCAGTTTCTATCCTGGTGAAACTATCAGGTGGTGGGGTGGATAAGTGCAACAGTGGCCCAGCCCCTGGCATAAAGTTATTATTAGGGTCTTCAGCATATATTCTAGCTTCAAAGGCATGGCCCCGAAGCAGAATCTCTTCCTGAATTAGGGGAATCTTCTCTCCTGCTGCAACCTGAAAACAACAGGTTTTTTTTATTTAATGCGGGATAATATTCTGGAGTGACAATGTATGAAATCTTAAATATCTTTCTTATAAAAATGAAAAACTAAGAAGCACATTTAAAAAAGCACAAGGCTAATTCTGAAGTTACTCCTTCCTTTTCTCTGGGAGTCAAAAAATACTCTTCACCAGTCAAAGAATTCTGAATTATTATTGTGTAAATTGACCTCCTAATATTTCACACAGCTAAAACATAATATAAAAAGTCTAATTTGTTTCTATTAGTTATGTCAATAAATAACTAAATGTTTAAGTTAAAGCCTAGTTAACTAAGACAAGATTTCACTAGAGAAAAATTGCTCCAAAAGCAGATGATAAAACGGATTACTGGCAGCCAGCAATACTGACATACGCTGTTGAATCTTCTGTACACTGTGGGACCTGTACATTTAAAGGAATGTTTCTCTAAGGGGATTTCTAACAATTTAAGAACCTTTATTGGGGAAGGAAACATAGTTTTTTACTCAAAGGAATTCACCTTACAAATACAGGAATACCAACAAACACTAGCAACACACCAGTTTGAGACTGAAAAAACAGGACTTTGGGGAACAAACCATCAAGAAGCCTGGTCCAGTTAAGCACAGAGGAGACCCTTTACCAGGAAGCTACACAATTTCCATCTACGTGGGAAAATACAAGTTCCTATTAAAAAATTTCTAGCAACATTTCAGCTTCTTTTGAAATGTCAGTGTTTTCCATATTCTGCCTTTTGTCACCAAACTATGGATTTCAGTAGAGAGCGCAGAATATAACTGAAGCCTTCAAAGAAAAAGTAGTACTATACAGATTCACAGAAATAATCTCTCCAAGATCCAACAAACATTTTTTAGCTATTGACTCATTGAGCCACATGCCAAGGCCACTGAACCTTCCCACCTTATCTCTTTCTTTCTTCTAGTATTGTTTGATCCCTGCTCCAAGTCAGCATTCAATGTTGTTTCCATTCCCTGATCAGGAAGCCACAAGCTCCTCCTTTTTGCATCAGCATTTGCCATTTCAGTTTTCTTTCTGGTTACACTAAACACTCTCCACTCTATCTACTTAAGCTCAATGCGTGCTGCTGTCCTCACTTTTGGATTTAGCTACCCAGAATTGTTTTTTATTTCCAGTGCCCTAGGGTCCAAACCTTCCTGTTATCATTCAGACGTGTGAGTAATCTCTCTAGAAACTGGGTATGTGAGGAAATAGCCTCTTTCCAGTCCACACAACTATACATTTATTTTAGAGTGTGACTATACTGGCATAACACTAGACATATGTTTTTATGAACAGTTTTCCTCCTACAGCCTGATCCAAGAATGATTTTTGGGCCAGAGATTCATTTGAACTAGAGTTTAAAAAAATTTCCAGCATGGCAAGGGAAAGATTAGGACCCTTAATCCTCCCACTTTCCACACTCTCTATAACCTCTCTAAATATAATTTTAAAAATGTTTTTTCTCTACACAACTGGAAGAAGACACTGTTGGAATTCAGAGCATCTAGACAATGCTCCACAATCAAATACAGTAATATGAGATGTTCATTCAGAGCAAAGGAAACTCTACCCTATTAGCTGGACAAGAGATGAGCATTTGAAAACCTATCTAGTCCATCACAAGTGATACCAAAGAGCACTATTCACCAGACAAGAGTAACTATACATGTAAAATCAATTCACACTTACCCTAAGCTGCCATTCCACCAAGTCTGTTCCAGTAATCATCTCTGTAACTGGGTGCTCTACTTGCAGTCTGGTATTCATCTCCATGAAGTAAAAATTATGTTGGGAGTCCATAATAAATTCCACTGTTCCTGAAATATTTAATAGAAGGGCACTTCACCAAAACAAGTCTTTTTCAGAATGGATACCTAAGACAATTAATTTATGCCAGGACAAGACTATTATTTTTAAACCAGATACACTGAATTTCATTAAATTCTATATGAATTATCTTAGAGGGTCACACAATTGGGGTCTAAAAACAGAAGGGCTGTTTCCTTGCACATTTACGTATCCTGTGCTGTTCAGTAGCCATTCTCCTCTACAGCAAGAGCTGTAAGAAGTCCATCAAGACTCCTTAAAGTATTGTATATATCTATAGGGTATGTAATTATTTTTTAAAAATAAGTATGCAAAGAATGCAGTGAGGAAAGAAAAGTCACAAATAATTTTAGCAAAAAATTTTTACATCTGGGAAATAGCATGGACTTTACAGACAGGGAACTGTGGTTTGTTGGGTTTTTTTTAAAGGCTTTACTGTTTGAATATAAAGTATTATTTTCTGAATGCTGAAGGAGTAATTATTTTTCCTTTGCTCTGCTCAAACTTATGAGCATTCATAACACTCACTTTCCAACAACAATCTAGTTGATTGAATTATATGCTCTGAAATTTTTTCTTTCTGTTCTTCAGCTCTCACTCATCTTGAGCTCAGACCAGATATGCTAGTTTAAATTTGTATTTCCATCAGAATTAACTACATGATTACTTACTTAAACCTCAAAAAAAATGGTGATGTGAGTCATACTCCAAAGCAATCAGATGCCATTTGCCTTGAGGCTTTAAGTCTTAGTAAGTTAAAAGCATACCTCTGGAGCAGCCATACCTCCACAGACTTACCTGCTCCCACATAATTCACAGCTTTAGCTGCTTTGACAGCAGCTTCTCCAAGTCTTTTTCGAACTTCAGGATTAATTCCTGGCTGTAAATAATAATAGAAAGGATTATAAATGATTGTGAATTTTGGTGATATTAAAACTACTATGCATGAATACTTTGTGATATTTAGCAACTGTAGTGAAATCCTTATCAATGTTATACTTGAAATCTACATAATTTTTCCCTGAGAACCATTTTCTAAAGAAAGTAATTTTTTCATATTTTTTTTACAAATAAATTACTACCCACTAAATAAATTGGATGGGAATTAGCAATTACTTTTCATAAAAAATATTCTGAGAACTTTCTTCTCACCCCTGGTGCCTCTTCAATGATTTTCTGATGTCTTCTTTGCACACTGCAGTCTCTTTCAAACAAATAGACTGCATTGCCATGCTGGTCACCGAATACTTGGACTTCAACATGCCTGTTCCATAAAAATAAATGCTTCAGTGTAAATGTTTCAAGCCCCAAGCCCGTGACTGACTTCACCCCAACAGACTTTGAACTTGTACTCAGTCCTGTACACTTCAGTAGAACTTCCTATAGATTTAAGCATCTGCCCTCAAATATCAAAAATGTAGAAATGAGGCTGCTACTATGCAGGATTCTCACCCATTTTAGATTTCCTCCATCTCCTAAATGAAATAGGATTCTAAATGCCAGCTACTGCAGTGAAACCTCATAGGCCACAGGATAAACAAGATACATATCTAAAGGCTATACCTCTTTCTTAGTTATTTTCTTATAATAAAAGTAAAACCACTTCACTATTATTTCATAATGATGATTTCCCTTGTAATTTACTGTGTAGCAATTCACAAGAGGCAGCAGCCTGGCTCAGAATTATCACTGTTTATTTCAACACGTCATTTCAGAGGACAGGTGGCAGAACTTCATTCTGTGTAAAAAACTAAAAAATTCTGCCACCATTCTGATAACCCTCTGACACTGGCAAAAGAAGTTCCCGGGAATTTGATGAGATTTTTCTCATGCCCATCTGACATCACCAGCAGGCCCTCAGTTTCTTTAGAATAAATGCTTTCTTTATAGTGATGCTTCATGAAAAACAGATGTAAAGTACAAGAGTATGAAATAGACCTCTGTGAAAAGTTCTTTATAAAAAATAAATTACCTCAGTTTCACAGGTCAGGTATGAGCCAAAGACTATCACTTCTATTTTAAATATCAAAATAGAGAAAGATTAAATAACTAGTTTAGGACACCTGAGGGCAGCAGAAACACTATGACAGCTTGACTCAGTTTTGTAGTTTAAGTATTACAAAGCATTATTATTCTTTCTTAGATGTAAATTGAATTTAGAAAGGTCACTCAGGGAGGTATATCAATGTCACTGCCTTGTCTCCCAAACAGCAGTATTTTAATTCTTATTATTCCAAACATAATCACTACAAGAAATTAAATACATTATAAACAATTTTGACTAAACAAACACCTGCCATAGTGCAAATAAAATGTACAAGATCAATTTTCATTCTATTAATAAAACATTTACATTTATTTAACAGTAGAATAAACACTACACTGTTTATATTAAACCTTCTGTTTCTCACCTTGGATTATCTACAAATTTCTCAATCAGCATTGCATCATCATTGAAAGACTTCTTTGCTTCTCTCCTAGCTGATTCTAGTTGGTCCAGAAATTCCTTTTCTGAGTGAGCAATTCTCATGCCCTAAAATTCATTAAAAAAGCATAGCTAAATGTCTAAAAATATGGAATACAACAAAAATATTTGTTGCACAAAACAGGTACGTGACTAAAACAGCAAGTTTTTCCCTTCTTTCTTAAACTTTAGCAAAACTGTGTATCAACTTACAGTAAAAGTCCCACTGAACATGCCATAACAAGTGTAAAAAATAAGTATTATCATTACATAGAATCATAGAATCATAGAATGGTTTGGATTGGAAGGGACCTTAAAGATCATCCAGTTCCAACCCCCCTGCCATCAGCAGGGACACCTTCCACTAGACCAGGTTGCTCAAAGCCTCATCCAGCCTGGCCTTCAACACTTCCAGGGAGGGGGCATCCACAACTTCCTTGGGCAACCTGTTCCTGTGTCTGACCACCCTCACAGTGAAGAACTTCTTCCTAATATCTAATCTAATAACATTGATATGGAAGAGTACAAAATTTAATTTTATTCTTAAATAGCACAACAAAATTGGCAGAGAAAAACTGATTTAATTACAAAATAAGTATAACTATTTTGGAAATAACTAAAATTCTTTTTAAATATAAATTTATTCAGAGTAAAATCAGATTTAGACAGGGAATTTATCATACATTAAAATGTGTCGAAACACCAAATACTTAAATAGTATTTCTAATCACTTCTTATGCAACATTTAAAACTGCTGGCAAAAAAGGTCACAGGAGCTATCACAAAGTAACAATTTAAAGTCATCTAATTTCACACAAACAAATCCATAGGACAACTCTTCTACTTATGTGAATTACTGAAGATCCATCAATATAAATAAAACTCTTCCAATTTATACCAGCTACTTATCTTGTGCCTGACTGTACAACAAATGGAAATGAGATTTCATAGTGCTGGACTGGACATTAATAATAAATTTTAACCAAAAGTAGTTTTCCAGTTTCTTTGTTTTCAAAGATTTCTTTTAGAATATTCAGTTACAGATACCAAGACATGGTAACTTTACACTATGCAAGAAACAGATTCGTGCCTTTACCTTTCCTCCACCTCCACGAACAGCTTTAATCATTACTGGATATCCTATTCTCTTGGCATGTTCCTTTAGACACTGATCGGATTGATCTTCTCCATGATAACCTTCAACAACAGGAACGCCAGCAGCAGACATTATAGCTTTGGAAGTGCTTTGACAAAATAGTTTTATAGTTTAGAATGGTAACAATATTTTTTTTCTTACTTTAAGGTCCAAACTTTTATATGTTCCCAATGTTAATTCTCCTCACAAAATTAGTTCCACTGACCTCAACAGGACTACTTATATAAGTGGGTTACATACGATTTGATTGTAATTCATAAAATGTTTTAAACAGGGATTTTTTTTCTCCAAGCCCTCCAGATACCAGCAGCAGTCAGTATTCAGGCTTACTTTTCTTTCCTATCTTTTAACCCACTTTATAGAGGACAAAACCTAGTATTTTCAAATTACAACACTGTATCCTGCCAAAACTATATTTAAAATTGTACAGAGGCAAAACTCTTTTCACAATACAGGCTGGATTCACACCACACAAAACGCTCGAGCATAACAACTATAACTTCAAATATGCTTGCAAAACTGGTTCAATTACAGAGGTAATTTACTCTCACGTTGGGAAGTGATAAAAACCTAATTCTCTGAAATTAGTATTACATAGGTCATGTGTTGGCAATAACCTTATTTCCATATTCTTGATTTATACTTCATACCCTGGAAACATTTCTTTGATCTAAGTAACTAAGAATAAGATCCTCTGTGATGAACAAAAATTATCACCCCATTTTACATGAGCCACAATAACCACTGATGACACAGTGTTTCTTTTCCGCTGTTCTTTTGACCAATATACCAGACATCCAATCTGACTGCTGAAACCTTACCTATGTAACACTGTAACACCTCATCTCTGGAAAACTAGAATCAGTTAGGTATTTAATTATTAAAACCCTAATAACTGAACAATCTTGATTGTTTCTATGCCTTTAGGTATCCCACATCTATAAACCTGAAGCTTATTCCTTTGAAGAAAGCCATATAAATAAAAGACAACAAAAACTGACAGAATAAATTGACTACAGAACAACTGGTCATCTGTTAATAAAATTAGCTTTGCCAAACTGTAAAGTGCATAACCAAGTAACAAATTAGAAACAGATACCTCTTAATACCCATATCTCTGATAGCAGATGAAGGCGGACCTATGAAGATTATTCCCTCTTGCTTGCACAACTCTGCAAACTCTGTGTTTTCTGAGAGGAAACCATAACCTGGATGAATAGCCTAAAATAGAATAACGTTACCAGCCTATTTTTATATCAGTTTAGCTTAGAAAGGCCTGAAACTTCAGTAGAGTGCTAGAAAAACACAAAATGGAAACAGCACTGGTAAAAATGAAGAACTAAAGAACATGGAAGTAACAGAAAATTTAAGGTTGTGATCTACTTACCTGTGCTGCTGAGACCTTGGCCACCTGCATTATTTTCTCCATGGCCAAGTAACTCTGCTGTGAGGGTGCTGGACCAATGCAATATGCTTCATCTGCCTGTTATAGAAAAAAAACATAACACAGACTGTTTATTAGATAACAAAAAGCAAATTTAACTGAATTTCTGAGCTAATTATATGGTTTATCAGTCTGCTAACATGCAACAGTTTAAATTACTGCCTCTCCTCATGGACAGACTCAACTGGCTAAAACAAATTCTGACTTTCTTCCCAAAATAAGAGTGCCTTCTCCAACCCCCAGTGGCTACTCTGGAGTTAAGAATACCAAACTTTAATGCACTTCCTGTAAAGCTGCCAGGTGCTGAGACAGAAACTAGGCAAACTTTTCACTGATTCAAGGAAAACTTGGAAGTAACTCTACAGCAGTGAAAATCAATTACACACATCTACTTTCACACTGAACTTATTAATAAGAAATACTGTTGTGAATGAATGTGAAGCACAAATTTAATGAATATACTTCACCATTGCTACATGCATAGAATTTCTGTCTGCTTCGCTATAAACTGCTACAGACTTCACACCCATTTTCTTTGCTGTTCGCATCACTCTGCATGCAATTTCTCCTCGGTTCGCGATAAGAATCTTCCCTATGTTGTGACCTCCTGTTTAAAGGAATGAAGCACAGTAAGCAATGTTTAAAATATATATATATATATATATATATACACACATATATATATATATCCTTAAAATCATTCCTGGAAACAAAGCAGTTTTAAAACTCATATTTCTTTTTCATCATATATAGTATTTATACATTTCTTCCAGTAATGAAAAAAAACATGCTTTACCCAAAAGCATTTCCATGCTAGCCTTGGAATTTTTTACTTAGAGTCTTTATGCAGAAGTATATTTAATTTAAGTCTTTTTTTCTTTTTAGAATCCAAGAAGCAATTCTAAGCCTAAATCAACACTTCAACATAAAAGCTGATGCTTATATTTTTACTGTGTACTTTCTGGACCAACTAGGAAACAATTAACACCTGTCCCCAGCCCCAAATATAGAAGTGATTCACTGTTCTTTGAAGAGCACTATTGTGCTGATACACAGTCACAAAGAAATAACTATGTATGAAGTTTTTTGTTGGGTTGTTTGTTTTTTTTTTAATAGTGAGACACAAGTTTCTATTAAGCATCATGACAGCAGTTAAAACGTGATAGAAATATACTGTCAGCACAGCGAGAGACCTCACAGGCAGAAACAAATAGCTTAAAATTAACTGATAAAATGAAAAGAGATCTCTGAATTCTAAAATAGATCTTTTTAGACAATATGACAACAGGGTTAGTTTAAATCTTGCTAAATATTCACATATATATATTGAATATATATTATTCTATTATGTTCAATATAACTTTCCTTCATATACTGTTTAAATACCATTATGCCTAAAAAACGATTCCCACAGACTTTGCAACATGTGTATCAGAAAAGGACTCAGAGAAAAACACCACAAAAATAAAGAGTTTTCATTGAATGTACCTAAATATGACAGAAAATTATTCAAAATATTGTTTACACATTAAGATGATCTCTCTTAGGTAAGCTACAGACTACTGTTCTCAAAAACTATACAGATATTGAGTATTTATTTTAAAAAAAAAATAGTTTTTCAGCAACTAAAGGTCTAACTGTAAAACCATCAACATTATACAAGCAATTAACTCCAAGTAACTAAAGAAGTTAAATTTCATACCTACTGTTGAGGCCCATTTCACAAATCTTTGTACTTGGTTCCATTGCCTGTACAATTATAAACATACAGAAGTGTTACCAAAGTATATGAACAAGTGACAACAGCTACTTCTCTTTGCAGGTGAGGGAAGGGCAGCACTAACACAGGCCTGAAGCTTTTGATACAGTTATTTACACAGAACACACTAAAAGGCAACAAAAAAAAAGTGGCACAAACTTCACTAGATCTCCCCTTAGTTGTTTTCAGACACAACAGAAATTATCCCCTTGCTTTTTTTAGCAGCACTCAAATTGAAACAGTCAACATATTATATTTAAAAAAAAAATAAAAATACTCTTAGTGGATAGAACAGGCAACATCTGACTTTTATTTCAGATAAGGCAACTTGAAGTATTTGGGAAAGAAAACATAAACAACTACAAAACACAAAAGCGTAAAAAAAAAGGAAAGAAGAGCTGTTTATATAAAGAAAAGGTGAAAGAGAGGAATGCACAAGAGAGCAAGAAGAGCTATGAAGAATTTTGGAAATTAAGTTAGACCTCAAAGTAATAAAAAGTGCTAAAGAAATCAGGCAGAGAAGGCTAAGTGACTGGAAGAAACTGTAAAAGGAAACTCTTGGAACTGTTTTAATTAACATATAGATCAACTTGGGAACCTTGGATCAAGTCCAGCAATTATTTTAACAATACCAGATAAAAACACACAAGAAGTCCTTGGCTCCACACGACCAAAAGCTCCGCTTCAATAACCGAGGGGAAACGAGCCTATTTCCAAACCCCCAGCTAACGGCTGTCCCC